TCTTTTAACTCACTAATGGCAAAGATTTATGCAAGTATTAATATTGACAAACTGTCCAGGAAATATGTGTATGTGTATATATATATGTGTGTGTGTGTGTATACATGTGTGTGTGTATATATGTAGGTGTGTGTGTGTGTGTGTGTGTGTGTGTATAGCCCTTGTTTTAGAGGAAGAGTAAACATCCATTTAAAAATACTAACAGATTGTAATTTTTATTTACTATCATTGAGCACTGTATTAGTCTGTTTTCACACTGCTGATAAAGACATACCTGAGACTGTGAAATTTACAAAAGAAAGAGGTTTAATTGGACTTAGTTCCGTGTGCCTGGGGAAGCCTCATAATCATGGCAGAAGGCAAGGAGTCGCAAGTCACATCTTACATGGATGGCAGCAGGCAAAGAAAGAGAGCTTGTGCAAGGGAACTCCTCTTTTTAAGACCATCACATCTGTAAGACTTACTCACCGTCATGAGAACAGCATGGGAAAGACTTGTCCCTATGATTCAGTTACCTCCCACCAGGTGCCTCAAAGATGATATTTGGGTGGAGACACAGCCAAACCATATCAAACACCTGCTGTTCACTCAGTACTACCCCAGGCTCTGAGTGGATGTTGGTGAGGAAGATCTTGGTCATTGAGCTCATGAAACTTATAGTCCAGCAGGTAGACTGACATTTAACTGTTAATTGCAGGTACATTATATATTTTCATAAGCCATGTTGTCCCAACTGCTATGATACCATGTCTATTTAAAAAATAATTGAAGTTTAGAAAATTGTTGTATGCAACAGTCTTTCCTTGGATGAGGATAATTATAGGTATTACAAATAAACTTTATCTATTTTTATTTAAGAAAAGAAAAGAAAGAGAACAAAAAATTAATAAAGAAATGGAAGAAAAAGCAGCAAAGGAACTGGAGAAAGAATATTTGCAAGAAAAAGCAAAAGAAAAATATCAAGAATGGTTACAGAAGAAAAATGCTGAAGAATATGAGAAGAAGAAGAAAGAAAAGGTATTTTTATTAAAGTGACCAGTCAGAATACATAACTTTGGTGTTCATATGTGTCAACTACATGTTAAAACAAGTATTTAAGTATTTAATTATTTGTATTTAAGTATTTTAGTATTTGTTTTCTATTTAATAGAAAATTGGCACTGTCCTAGCATAAAATAAATACATGAAGCTATCTCAGTTTATCCTGTTATGCTGTGTTTAAGCTTCAAAAATGAATATGCCTTTGTGGTTTTCTTGAGAAATATTAATAAGCCTGTTGATATTTTTTCAGTCACCTTTAAAACTTGTTGTTATTCCTTTTACATATTTTTTAATTCACTTTATGGGAAGTCTTACTACCATTTTATAAATTACTTTTCTTTGAAAACAGCAAATGCTTTTTCTCTTTGTGGGTTTGATTTCTTATTGTTTTTCAGAGCTGGACACCTTAATGTGTGTCCCTGATCATATTCAATATTGTACTCATATTATAAAAATATGATTCAGTATTTTGGTCAATAAGTCATTCGTATAGGAAGCTATTGGAGAAAAGAAAATCAGTAGAATTTGAATGCAATGTATAGTTACAGAATATCCCTGTAAATATTCTTGTCTTGTCATTTTAAGGAAAAAGAAAAACAACAGCAAGCTGAATTACAGGAGAAAAAGGAAATAGCAGAAAAGAAGTTTAAGGAATGGTTGGAAAATGCAAAACATAAACCTCGTCCAGTAGCAAAGAGCTATGGTTATGCCAATGGAAAACTTACAGGTTGGTTTTTATGTTATGTGGCTTACATAAATATGGTTTGCCGAAGCAAATATTGTACTCTTCTTAACAGAAATAGAAATGTGTAAAAATTATTTTTCTTTCAAATTACTATTTTCTGGAAGATTATACTGCAAACATACCAAGTTCTATGCAGATGCTACAAATGTACTGTCATTCTCCACAAGTCAGATATTTGTACTTCTTAGAAGCAGTAGTTATAAAACTACAAACTTATGCTTTAATGATTTCTAACATTAAGAAATAACTAGTGTTCTCTTACATTTAGCCAATGATAAAAGCTTAATTAGGATATATTTTAAGGGGTCATTTTGGCTCCTCTCCTTCTAATCTTCTCTAAGGCAGAGCTTCCTGTGTCCTTGGCACATTCTTTGTGTGAGGTAGAATACTAGACAGCACATGAACCAGACACAAAACCGATTGGCCTTTAGGCTTGGTCTGATTATAATGCATGTTTTCTTTGTGCTTCATGTTGGAAGCTCATACCTTGCTGACAGCTGCCTTCACTTGTTTAAGTGATTTATTATTAAAATACCCCCATTCTGTTTTGTTCACACAATAGAACATATTCCAGACTTTGTTTTGACCATCTTGGTGAAGTGAGTGTTGACATATCTATGCAAAGTGGGTTGTCAGTGTCTGAAATACACATTCCTGCTGTCAGGATTAGGCCTCTCTCATATGTCACGAAGGGTCATCTGTTTTAGCTACTGAGCATGGCCTGCTCCTTCTTTTTGTTTCTTGCTTGAAAAAAGAGTAATAAGCAGTGGTTTTAACCCAATAATTGGGTAGTAAACTTAAAAGTTTAGGCGGGAATACTAAACATATTGACTAGAAGTTAATTGCTAAAATAATGGATTTTTTTTGCATTTTTAATGAGTTTAATTCTAACAAGCAACATATTTGTCTACAAATGCTGTACTTAAGTCTCTGTATTTTTTATGCTGATATCATTTTTATAAATTATGAAATAAAGAAATTTTGGTGCCAGTAGTGACTGAAGGATTTGGAGATGAATTGTAAAATGTTCTTCCTTCAAGTGTGTGCTTATTAGATGTCAGATATCACAGTACTTTAAATACTTTATATGCATCAGCAAAAGAATGCTCCATAACTCATAATCACAATTACAGTGATATTGTGAAATCTTATTGACAGTGGTTCAGAATTTCTGTGATTCTAAATAAGAATCTTGATTTACTATAACTTCATATGAAAAATAAATATTTTTCTGTAAACTTTAGCATCTGACAAGAGGAAGGTAGTATACAATCAGTAGTTTCCTAGACTGAGTTAAGAAAATGAAAGTTTTGTTCAACTTAAGGATAGTAAAATTAACTTAGTAAAATTTTTAATAGGAGTTTGTATTTACACAGGTTTTAACACTAATATTATTTTGATTCTTAGAATTATTTATGTTTTAATTTTAACTGTAACATTTACTGTATTTGGAAAGTGTTATTTCTTTGAAAATGTTAAGGAGTTTAAGTTTTAAATAAGTCAAATTGGCTTATTAGTGATAATTTGTCCATTTGACATTTTAACATTTTTCTAGAAGTTTGAAGTGGCTTGATCTCAAGAAGTTTTTTCTTGTTTTGATCTGATTTTTCAATAATTTTAGGTTTTTACAGTGGAAATTCCTATCCAGAACCAGCCTTTTATAATCCAATTCCATGGAAACCAATTCATATGCCACCTCCCAAAGAAGCTAAGGATCTATCAGGAAGGAAGAGTAAAAGATCTGTGATAAGTCAGCCACACAAATCATCACCTCTGGTAATTCATAAAGCCAGAAGCAATCTTTGCCTTGGAACTCTGTGCAGAATACAAAGATAGCATATGCGGAAAATAACATGCTTTTATCTGGAGTTATTTAATTTTAAAATCAGAAATTGTTTTTTACTGCTCAGTTGGTAATTCAACATTTAATGTGATTATTGACAAATAGCAATTTTTGCATTTGTATATGGAGTCCTTAGAGTTGAGGAAGACATTTTCTAGATTTTGGTTTTTATAAACTTTTCGAGGTTGATCTTGGCATGTTGTTTTGCAGAGTAAGTGGCTGAATATGTAATAATTGTGTTTGTATTTAGCTTGTATTAAAAACACACTGTAATACCAATAAAACTAACAATTTTTCCTGTATTGTTTTATACTCTATTAGTTTATGTTTATGGACATAAGATTAATTTATTCAAACAAGCACTTCTAAACTGCATGCTTATGTAACCCTTTGAAGAATTTAAAGCAAAAAAGGAAATTGCAGAAAAAAAGTTTAAGGGATGATGGGTTAGAATTTAAGTGATTACCAAAGTAATCAAAAACAGTCTTTCCTGATGGCATATTTTTCCCTATGTAGATACTTTAATTTTATTTATATTTATTTGTAGAATTTTATTAAACGTATTATATTTATTTAATTAATTATTTTATCTCCCTCTGGCTCTGTTGCCCAGGCTGGAGTGTAGTGGCGTGATCATAGCTTACTGTAACTCATGGGCTCAAGTGATCCTCCCACCTCAGCCTTCTGGGTAGCTGAGATTACAGGAGCATGCCACCACGTACAGGTAATTTTTTTTTTTTTTTTTTTTGGCAGAGATAGGGTCTTCCTATGTTGCCCAGCGTGGGTTAATTTTAAATTAACTAACTAAGGCATGTTTTTTTTTAACAAATAAATCAGAGTTATGATTTCCAAAGGAAAATTTTAAAACATTATTTTATATTCTGGCCGGGTGCGGTGGCTTATGCCTGTACTCTCAACTCTTAGGGAGGCAGAATTGGGAGCATAGCTTGAGCCCAGGAGTTCAAGACCTGCCTGGGCCATATAGCAAGACCCCATTCTCCACAAAAAAATGAAAAAAAATACGAAAACCATTATTTTTTACTGTAATCTTAGATTGATGTGTAGTAATCTTGAGACACTGATAATATTTTTCTACCCTGTAAAAATACTTAAACAATTATTATAATTAGGTTACTAGTTTTAAAATTAGGATTATCGGTACATTATTTTTTAATGTTAAAAATGTTAAATGTTAAATGACATTTTACTGAGGTAGAAATCACAGATCTTATTACTAAATATATTTTAAGTATAGTGGTTCAAATTGCTAAAATAATGCCCAACACTTTTTATTAAATGTAAGTCTTTTATCTTTTTTAGAAGATGATCAAGAAATGAAAATTTATTGTGGCAGTATAAGAATAAGTAAGTTCATTTAAAAGTGATTTCTATTTAGAATATATTCCATTGTTTCTGTCAGATGAGCCATCTGCCAAGTTTCTGGTGATCTGCGGTGGTGTTGGTCAATGCAAGGAAACAGCAATACACTCTTTGAAGAGTATTCATGTCACCAGAAGTCTAGGAAAATTCACTTCTAAGCAGAAAACAGTTTATTAGGAATCAGTAGGGTTCATTGGGTCCAAATGTTGCTGAGATGTAGAGATATGAGCATACTTCTCAGAACCTGTCAGATACAGTGAAATTTACAGATGATCATTCTTCTTGAGCAAATTCACCTGTATAGAGAGAACATAGAGTTTGCCTGGGTAGCAATAATCTTGTTTATAAAAAACATATAGGGTATATATATTCCTGAATTTGTGAGGGTTTTAGATACAGTTGTTACATCTTAAAAAGCTAAGGATCTATTAGCTAAGATAGATATAGTTGTTACATCTTAAAAAGCTAAGATCTAAGGAAGGAAGATTTACTTTCAGCTGTAACTATAATCCTAGTAAGTCTTTACAGTCATTCAGTCGTTCATCATTATATGTATCATAAGTTCACTAGTTTGAACTTTATTCTAATCATAATAGGAAGTGTCTGGAAGTTTTAAATAGGTAATTGATAAGATCTGGTTTATCCTTTGAGATTACTATGGCTGCTCTGAGGAAATTGGCCTGTTGGGGGCAAAGAATGGCAGCAGTGAGACCCATTGGGAGGACTTTGCAGTATCTGGCAGAGAAGTTTTGATACCTTGGATTAATATGGCAGCAGTGACACAGTAAAAAGTAAAGATAAACTTGGGATATATTTTGAAGATGGAGCAAACAGGACCACTAATATTTGGATGTCAGATTGAGAAAAGGAGGAAAAATCAGATATGACTAGTTTTTTGGCCTGATGACCAGGTGAATGATGATAAGTATACCAGAAATATGAAGACTGAAAAGAGCAGGTATATGGGCCGAGATGGGGAGAGGGAAGTCTTTAAGAATTCTGTCCTAGATTTGTTAGGTTTGTGATACCAACTTCATAACTTGGTTAAGATGGTTAAATATATGATGCTCTGGGGAGAGCCAGCATAGTAGATACAAATTTGAGGATCATTAGCACATAGAAGGTATTTAAAAGCATGGGACTTGAACAGGTTACCTCAGACGAGTTTAGATGGTAAAAAAGGAGGGCTGAGTATTCCAGTATTTAGAGATGAAGCAGCCAGCAAGGATCCTGAAAACATGCAGCCAATGAAGTAGAAGGAAACCAGATAGAGTAGGATGTCACAGAAGCCCTGAGTAGAAGTGAGGTGTGGGCTCTGTCCAGTGCTGCTTGAGAGAAAGGAGCCTTCATTATTGGATTTCATATGAAAGAGGGTCATTGTTGAACACAATGGCAAGCATGTCTTGAACAATTTCTATATGCCTGGTATTGTTGTGCTTCTATATGTGCTATTTATATGTGCTATTTTAATCCTCACAGCCGCCCTGTGAGATAGTTACTTTTATTATCCTCATTTTATATTTGGGGAAAGTGAGGCACAAAGAAGTTACATTGCTTTTATACCTAGTAAATCACAGAACATGGATTAGAACCCATGAGGTCAAAGTCCAAACTTAATAACTATATTAAGGTAAAAACAGGTATGAGACTTCAATCAGATATGCTGGAGAGAGAATGGAAAGTGAGAAAGAGCCCATAACTAAAGACATTCTGGAAACGTTGTAGAGTGAAGAAGAGAAAGGTGGAAGAGGGCCCGGGCATGGTGGCTAATGCCTGTAATCCCAGCACTTTGGGAGGCTGAGATGAGAGGATCACCTGAGGTCAGGAGTTTGAGACCAGCCTGACCAACATGGCGAAATCCCGTCTCTACTAAAAATACAAAAATTAGCCAGGCGTGGTGTAAGGGGCCTGTAATCCCAGCTACTTGGGAGGTTGAGGCAGGACAATTGCTTGACCCTGTGAGGCAGAGGTTGCAGTGAGCCATGATCACACCATTTTACTCCAGCCTGGGTGACAGAGCAAGACTATCTCAAAGAAAGAAAAAAAAGTGGGATAGGAGCTGGAGCTAGAAGAGAACATAGGGTCAAAGACATTTTCTGTTTGTTTTGTTTAAGCTAGGTGGTATTAAATATGCTTCTCTGAGGCTGGTAATGATCCAATTGAAAGGGGGGACCTGAAGATTTAGGAGACATCGGGGTGATTTTAGAAATGCAGTTCTTAAATAGCAAAATATTGGTTTATATAGAAGCAAGAAATTTCTTCTGTTTTCAGGGGGAGAACAAATTTTATGTATAGGTTCAGATGTGGCTGAATTGATAGTATTGGTGGCAGGAAGACAACATAGGCAGTTCTTGTGAAATTACTTCTTGTTTCTCAGTGAGGTGTGAAGGGAAGGCAAGGTCATCAGCAGAGGGATGGAATAGGATGTTCCAAGTTTGAGGAAAAGGAAAAGGCAATAGAAAAATAAGCATTTTGGAGAAAGAAAAATTTGCCAGAGAAATTAGTGAGATTGATGGGCAGCGTTGTGTGCCATTTGATTTTTTTGCCCAAAAAGACAAATTATGTCTTTATGGAGTTCTGTCATGTTGTTCTTTATTTCCAGAGAAAAATTTAGCTACTTAGATGTAGACCCAGATTCAGGTATATTGGGGTTGGGCAAGTAGGCAGTAGGATGAAGGGAAAAAGGAACGAAGCAGTTAAAGTGTTTTCAAGGGAGTGGTTATAGTACTGAAACATACTACTTGACACAGGTGCTGAGGAAGAGGTCTTCCGTAGATTTCCCATGCTATTTTGAGATTTGAGTTGGCGGTGCTTGAGGGAAGCTAGAGCAATAGGGGCTTGTAGTCAGGATATTGATGATAAGAACCAGAATATGACCATGGAAGTGAGTGGCCCAGATGGAACATAGCAACGAAGTTGATGCACTTAGGAATGTTAGTGGCCAGAGCTAGTGCAGTGGCCCACACTTAGAGTCCCAGCTACTTAGGAGGCTGAGGCAGGAGGATCACTTGAGGCCAGGAGCCAGAGGTTGCTGTGCACTGTGATTGCACCTATGAATAGCCGCTGCACTCAACCCTGGCAACACAGTGAGACCCTGCTCGAAAAAACTAAGGACTACAGAAGTAACTTTTCAACGTGGATATTGAAAGTGCCAAGGACATGATAGAAGTTGTGGTAGAGAGGAAGATGGCAAGCTGGGTGCTAGAATTTCAGCAAACCATGGTAACTGGCTAGCCGGATGACAGTCAAAAGGAACAGTATTGGCTAATATGGTCAGATGGAATAATCTTCAGAAGAGTAGGAAGTTTTGAAGGAGGAAGGAGATGAAGTGGTTTGGAGGTACGTACCCACGGGGAACAGGGTGGGTAGGGAAAACACTTTCCTGCCTACCAACTCCCAAGTTCCTGGAGGTTGGAGGCTACAAAGGGATAAAAACTGTTCTCAGGTGTCCATTGCAGGTATGAAAATCTTTTAAGAGCATGGCCATAGCAAGATGGTTTTGAGGGACAGAGACCAAAGACAGAGCCACCAGTAATGACATTATGGAATGATTCCAGGAAGAGGTGATCGAGGATCTGATGAGGGTAGTAGGGTTGAAGAGAAGAAATGAGTGAAAGAATCATCAGAAGCAGAACTTAGGCCAGGTGTGGTGGCTCATACCTGTATAATCCCAGCACTTTAGGAGGCCAAGGTGGGAGGATCACTTGAGCCCAGGAGTTTAAGACCTGCCTGAACAAAATAGGGAGACCCTGTCTCTACAAAAAATTAAAAAAGTAGCTCGGCATGGTGACTTGCACCTATAGTTTCAGCTATTTGAGAGGCCAGGGTGGGGAGATTGTTTGGGTTCAGGAAGTCAAAGCTACAGTGAGCTATGATCATGCCACTGCACTCCAGTCTGGCCGATGAGTGAGACCTTGTCTCAAAAAAAAAAAAAAGAACTTAAAGGGCTGTTTTGGAGCTAGTGGGTGATGATAACATTAGCAGAGAAAGGGAATACAGGAAGGAAGGACAGCTTTAGGGGTAAGAAATTGAGAAGTTTTTTTTTTCCTTTCAAATTGTTTATCAAAGTAATATATGCACATAGTTTAAAAGTCAAATAGTACTAAATGTTGTCTAATGGAAAACAGGAACATTTTGGTTTACTTCTCACTGCCTCACAGTCTTGCTCCCAAGGGGATATTTTATTGTATTATGTCTTTGATAATTTCCTCCCTCACAATATTCTCTGGCCCCTTTTTTTCTAGAATCCTGTTAGACAATTACTCGTCTTCCTGAATTCTCTAATAATTTAAAAGAAAATATTTTTCTCCTGTCTTACTTTTTTCCCCCCTACTCTGGTGAGGAGGACTACTTTCTGTGAGATTTCCTTTATGTTATTTTCTAATACTTGAGTCATTTTTTTATGGCTACCTTATTTTAAATTCCAAACATTCTTTTCGGTTTATTCATTTTTCATAGCTTCCTATACTTATTTTATGGATGTAATATCTCTTCTCTTCTCTAAGGACATTAGTTGTAATTTTTTTTCTTAATTGACTGTTTCTTCCAGATGCCTTTTTTCCTTCATTTTCTCTTTTTCTGAGATTTTATTGGAGGTTTCCCTCAAACGTTTGTTAATCTTTGTCTGGCATTTATATTCATAATATGAATTCCTGTCTGTTCCTATTTAAGAATAGGGCATTAAAAGGCTGAATAGAAGCTATGTGGGCACAGGTAGGGCTTGTCGATGGTGGATTTTTTTGTTGTTGTGGGTAGACTTCCAAATACCTGGAAGTCTTTCCCCCTTAGGCTGTTCATTTTCTCAGAAAAGGATCTTCTAATCTTCCAGAGAAATATGAGCCTAGCTGCCAGTGTTCCTGAGTAGGAGCTGGGTATGTAGTTCTCTATATCAAAGTTCATTTCTTGGTAAACTGTCACTTCCTGTGTTTTCAGTCTAGCTAGTTAGTGCATACGCTTCATTCTCGTTAGTATCTGGTGTTCCGCTATGCTGAGCCCTTCCAAGATTCTGCAGGCTGATTTTTTTTTTTTTTTCGGCACTTAGAAACCTTTAAACAGTAAAGAAGAAAAAAAATGTCACCAAGAAGAAACAGAGCTAATTAAGAAAGAAGAAAAAAACTGCAACTTTTTTTCTGTGTGAGAAAACCACGACATCCATCCTATCCTAACTCCAGCACTCTCCTAACTCAGTTATTTCACCTCCATCTTCTTTGCACCATCCCAACATTTGTGGGAATTTTTGGTTAACTACTGTATTCTCTTTTGTGTCCCCTTTTGGATTTGTAGTTTTTTTCTTAAAAGAAATTCCTTTGCCATCATCTTAGCAGAGATTGGGGTGGGAAAGGAGATAATTCTGTGTGATTAATCTGCTATGTTTAATTGGACAACCTAAATTTAGTTATGAACATAGTGACATAAGGGGACTATTAGAGATATACGTTTGTTGCCCAGGTGAGAAGTGTAGTTTTGGGAATAGATATTTAGACTTTCATCAGTTTAACATAATCATTGAAACTATGGAGATGAGTAGCATTTCTCAAAGAGAGTCTGAAGCATGACATTCTTTTATTCTTTCATTCCACCCATATTAAGTGCCTGCCATGTTTGGACCAGAGAGGGTAGACTAGGATGGAATGTAGAGGTTGAATACAAAGGTAAGGCAGAAGGAAGGAAGCTACTGGAAAAGCAATGAAGGTGGTGGAAGGTGCACAAGAGGAGAGTACACCACAGCAAGAGAGGGGAGCTTTCAGGAAGAGGGAGTGGAAGGTCTTCTAGAATATCAAATGCTGTGCAAGGGATCAGGTAGAATGAGTAAGGCATTCTAGTATGTGTTGAAGTCCTAGCACTATGCTAGAATCTGGGGATTCTAGTGGTAAACAAGACTGAACTAATCCTGAATCCGTTAGCATTTACATCAAAGCAGAGATTACAGTTAAAGTGGTCCTTACTTAAAGCACAAGCTGTGAGGGCATAGGAGAGGGTAGCTAACCTTTGTTGGAGTCAGGAAAAGCTTCTGGGAGAAAGTGATTAAGCTGAGACTCAGGCTTGAGGCACCCGAATAAACAAAACTTAGAATTTAATCATTTTGGAGGCTGGAGAGTAAGGAATGGACTTGGAACACTGGTGGTTTCCTATGTAACCTTTCTTTCAGATTCCAAGGATAGGTGATATGACAGCTTTGAACATCAAAGGGACTTTTTCCAACATTTGTATACATTGACATATTACTACAAAGTTACAAAGGAAATTTCTAAAATCCTGGTCATTCGTAAAGAAAATATTTAACATTCCATGGGAAAATGTACTTTGAGATTTGATGACAAAAATAGGCTGTCTATAGCTCTCAGAGTGGTACAATTGGGCTACTTTAAAAATAAATCACTAATGATTAATTAGCGCTCAAAGCTTATGCTTTCATGGACTTCCTTATTATGATACCTAAGGCCCAGGTGAATAACAGAATACAGTAGTTATGTTACACTAACATATTACACTGTGATTTAAATGTAATACCTCTAACTATAAAAATCGTCGAAGAAAACCTTGTAAACACCATACTGGACATCAATGTTGGGAAAGAATTTATGACTAAGTCCTCAAAACCAATTGCAACAAAAACAAAAATTGACAGATGAGACCTAATTAAACTAAAGAGCTTCTGCACAGCAAATGCAACTATCAACAGAATAAATAGACAACCTACAGAATTGGAGAAAATAAGGAACTGAAACATTGAACAAGCAAAAAACAGCCCCATTAAAAAATGAGCAAAGGACACAAACAGACACTTCTCAAAAGAAGATATACAAGTGGCCAAGAAACATATGAAAAATGCTCATCACCACTAATTGTCAGAGAAATGCAAATCAAAACCATAATGAGATACCATTCTTATGCCAGTCTGAATGGCTATTACTAAAAAGTCAAAAAACAACAGGTGTTGGTGAGGCTGTGGAGCAAAGGGAATCCTTATACACTGTTGGTGGGAATGCAAATTAGTTCAGCCATTGTGGAAAGCAGCTTGGACATTTCTCAAAGAACTTAAAGCAAACTACCATTTGAACCAGCAATCTCATTATTGGGTGTATATCCAAAATTATCCTACCAAAAAGACACATGCATGTATATATGTTCATTGTGGCACTATTCACAATAGCAAAGACATGGACTCAACCTAGGTGCCCCTCAGCAGTTGGGATAAAAATTTAACATATTATCATATCGGATAAAGAAAATCTGATACATGTATATTATGTAATACTACACAGCCATAACAAAGAACAAAATCACGTCCTATGCAGCAACGTGGATGAAGCTGGAGGCCATTATCTTAAGTGAATTAACACAGGAACAGAAAACGAAATATGCATGTTCTCACTCATAATTGGGAGCTAAACATTGGGTGCTCATGGACATAAACATGGGAACAATAGACACTGGGAATGACTAGAGGGGGAAAGGAGAGAGAGGGACAAGAGTTGAAAAACTAAATGTTGCTTACTATGCTCAGTACCTGGGTGGGGGGGTCATTCATACCCCAAACCCAGCATCATGCAATATACACAGGTAGCAAAACTGCCTGTGTACCATGAGTCTGAAATAAAGTTGAAAAGGAAGAAAAGAGTGTTTTTTCAAGCTCTTAAAAAAAAAAAAAACTAATTTTTCTTTCTCCAAAAAAAATAGTAAATGATATTCATGTATTTATTGTGGTCATTAATATCCTCAATTAAATTTATATATTGGCTTGAAGAAAAAAACACAGTTACTTTACAGTGAATATTTACCTACTACTGTTGATAATGGCAGTCTGCCTAAGAGTAAATTTTTCAGAAAGGGCAGTGGTATCTTGAATTACCTTATAAAATTGAGAAAGGAAAATATTCAAATCTGTCATTTGGGAGAAAGCTATGCCTTATGAGCAGAAGTCAGAAGGAACACTACCCTTTTCTTTGCTAGAAACAACAGAGTCACTTCTCCCTTTTCTCCTTCCTGTGCTCTTAGCTGATAGAATGAGCATATGACCTTGGAAAAAGAAAGAACCTCTCTCTTCCTCATTGTTTCATGTCCCTGGGAACCACCTGAGGGGTAGCAGGAGATGGAAACTATCATTGTTTCTCTGGTGGTGGCAGCACAGGGTGGCGTGGGAGTGGAATGTGTTCTTAGTTGGAAAAATTTACCAAAACAACCATCCAGTACATACCAGTCTGCAACTCTCACTCCCTGGGCCAAGAGTTTTCTTCCTTTGGTATAGTCTGAGATGCAAAGTGCTTACATAGGTAAATCTAAACGGTAAGTCTTGAAAGAGATCTCTCAATAAAATAGACAAAATGTTCACCAGTTTATTGGTCCAGTGAAAATGTTAGACTGATCCCAAAGGCCTCTTTCTATTCTAAAAATTCTATTCTTTTGTGTGGTTCATTTTTTGTATTTTTAGTATGTGAACATTGGTCACTGCTTATCTCTAGTAAAGGCGGTGAGGACAATGTCATTCTTATCTTAGAAGAGTGGGTGTTTCATAAACAACTAATTCCGGGAAGGCTTTCTATGAGTCAAGCCCAGCTTCTGTGGGGAGGCAGCCTGGCTCAGGAGAGCTATAGGGACTCACCTGAGGTTAAAAACATGGTCTAGGCTGGATGCGGTGGCTCCCGTCTGTACTCCCAGCACTTTGGGAGGCTGAGGTAAGTGGATCACCTGAGGTCAGAAGTTTGAGACTAGCATGACCAACATGATGAAACCCTATCTCTACTAAAAATACAAAAGTTCCATGCATGGTGGCAGGTACCTGTAATCCCAGCTACTTGGGAGGCTGAGGCAGGAGTATTACTTGAACCTGGGAGCTGGAGGTTGCAGTGAGCTGAGATTGTGCTACTGCACTCCAGCCTGGGCAGAAAGAGTGAAACTCCTTCTCTAAAACAAACAAACAAAAATTTTAAAAACCATAGTCTACTACTTATGCTGTGGGAACTTAGACAAGTCTCTTAACCTCTCTAAGGCTCAGTTTACTCTTCTTAAAAATGTGCTTAATTATACTTGCTTCATAAGGTGATTGCAAAGATTAACAAACCATGTAAAGTACCTCATACAATATTTGACCTAATACAATATTTGAGGCTTAATAAATCATTTTGCATACTTGTTAATAACCACAGGAGCAGATGCCTCCAGACAGATTATATGATGCTACACATTTTCCAATATGTCATGCTTTATGGGATTTAGAAGCTTTAATATCAGTTTCTTTGTTAGGATTTTGCAGAGATCTTACATATGAATTCCATGAGGGAAATCCAGACATATTTTGGTTTTCTCTGGATAGACTGGTTTGCCTAATTAAATTTGATGCTTTGTTAATATGTTTCTTGGAAACTAAATTGTAAATTATGGAGAATTGTCTTCTACATTTCATTAAAATAAAAAAAAAAGTAATTTTAAAACAGTTAAAAACTTAGTATGTTATATTGGATCCTCTGAGAAACAGTAAGAAAGTATTAGTGATGCAAGAGATTATTTGGGTAATAGTCTGTGAGGGAAAATGGGGAGGGAGTCAGAGAAGGCCCAGAGAGCCTTCAGGCCATATCTCTCACCCCTGTGAAGGAGAGAGGGAAGAAGAAAAGTTGGGTAGGGAGAGTCTTACATAGCAGTGCAGCTCTAAAAAAAAGTTCAGGAGGGCTAATGTAGGAATCCTTCAACCAAAATTGTCCATCAGAAGACTCCACTTCCTGCAGTTATGAGCCTTAGAACCCTGCTGTCTTCAGTCATTGTCTGGGAGCGCACACAGAAGGGACAGCCTCAGCTGGAACACAGTGATAGATTCAGAGCTTGACATCTGGGGCCTTTGGGCAATGATGCTTCTGACAGTAGATCTGAAAGGCCCATTTCCGTGGCTGCCACACTTAAATACACTTCCAATAGCCTATGTCTTATCTCTTATATAGTGAATATTTTCCTCAAGTGTTGGTGTCACAAAATTATTGAAAAGGAACATGTAATGCTGCAATGAGATATATTTGACAGTATTTTAAAAGCACTTTCAATTGCAGTCTGGAGCTAGGGTACAGATTGGGCCCCAGTCCTGTTCTCCCAGCTGTCAGTGGCATACTGGGTAAAGGTAGAGTATGAATGGTCTGCCCTGGGAGCAGGCAATAAGGGGGTAATTGATCTGTAGAGAATTTAAAAACAATAAAACCAACTAAAATGTAGTGTGCTTTTTTTATGATCACCATGTGCTGGCAACTTAAGGGATGTCAGTGATAAATATTCCATCCCACCAGGGCAGACTGCCGCCCACCTACCCTCTACCACCACTACCTTTGTATGCCACCACCAGGCTGCTTTTGCCTTTTTTGCATTTCCGGGCATGAAAGTGGATCAAAACATTCAAATTTTCTGTAAAGATTCCTGAAATGAATACGTTTCAGAGAATCTTTGGGAATGCTAGATGTCGGAGGGCCTTCATGTACAGTGCTATGTGGCTTCAAAAGGGGAAAAAATTACTTTCTTAAAGAGTGGTCAGGGAAGCCCCCATGAACCAGCACTGGATGCTGGAAGATGGTAGATTTTGACTAGGCAGAGAGGAAGACAGCTCACAGGCTGGAGGGTGAGTGTCCAAGGGCTCAAGGAGCAATGAAGTACAGGATGTATTTGGGAAACTCTGAATAGACAAAAATAACCAACTTCACATGGGATATAAGTGAGAAATAAGACAGAAAAGTACATTAAAACCAGAATTTTAAGGTTTTTAAGTGCCTCAGGAGTTATGTAGCTAAATATGATTGAGGATTTTTAAGTAGGGAAGAGACCCAATGAAAGCTCTATTTGAGAAAAATTAATCTGGCATAGGTGAGCAGCATGGAGCTAGTTGGAGGTTAACTCGCTGGGGCCTAGGACAGTCATCTTAAATATCAGGAGACAAGGGACTGTACTAGGGTAGAGGATGTGGGTTTGGAAACTGAACCAAGAGATAGGAAAGAAGCATCAATATCTCAAGTTCAATGCATATGAGACTGAAATTATTGTCTTCCCTCTCAAAACCTGCTTTCTGTCATCTTCTCATCTGTTCCACAGTTATGTATTCTGGAACCAGAGGCCGCATGAGGTCCTGATAACTGGTTTGTTGGTTGAACTCTGCCAAGTGTCCCTTGCTAGTAGCCTGGGATTTCATCCATCCTTGATGCCTCGCCCACATTCTCACCTGCATCTAGTCAGTAACTGACTTCTAATGATTTTATACCCTTAAGTCAGTCATTCCCTCCACATTAAAATCATCTGGGCAAAATTCCAAAGGCCAGACCACGCCCAGATCAATTACATTACAAGCTTTTTTTGAAGACCTCCCAAATAATATGCAGGCAAGTTTGGAAACCACTGCCTTAAATGTTTTTCAAGTCTGTCTCTCTCTCCATTCCTGCTAAGAAGGCCCTAGTCATTTCTCACTTGGATTACTCACTTGCTTTCTGTTTGTTACGATGCTTCTAATCTTATCCCCCTGGTATTTATCCTCTCTACAGCAGCCTGGTAACTTCCCAGAGATGCAAATCTGATTATGTCATTGCTGTGCTTCCATCTCTTCTAAGGCTCTGACACATACAGCATTGCTTCTCAAGCCTTTCTATTTTCCTTCCTGCCTCCATTGCATTCACTAGCATTAACACATTTCCTTATGTCCTTCAGTGACTATTGTACATGATGATTTTCAACCTTTTTGGGCATATTGCCCCTGGAGGAACAGTGTAAGAATATTGGAGAAGGACTTAGTCTGTGTAACTTTAAAATTACTTTCTCTCCACCACCTCTTTTTCTCTCTGTCCCTTTCTCCTCATTCTGGCATTGTTCTTGCCTACTAAGGGCCCAACCTTTAAAATGAAATACAGAACCACCTTTTGATCTAATGCTGTCTCTCTAATCTAATCTTTTATTATACTAATCTCTACCTTGTTACTTTTACTTCATGTACTCCAAACTTTTGAAAGTTTCTAGTCTAACCCATATATTGTTCCCATCCTTTAGAGCTTTGCTTATTTCTTTTCTTTATGGAATGCCTCACCTTTTACTTTCTCCTTCAATGCAGTCACTTAAACTAGATTGAAATTTTGAAAGTAACCAATAAGTCTCAACTCAGGGGTTACCTCTATAAAGCCTTGGACTCCCTACTCCAGCTGGGACCCTTTTTTTTTTATCAAGGTCTCTTTGTACTTTTCTCATTAATCTTGCTATGTCATACTATAATTAGCTGTTGTAATGGGTCTAGATTTGTTTTTCTCTAAGTTCTTTATAATACTTTGATTTTATTTACTCTGAGGTTTTGAATCTAAGTAATTCAGAGAAGGGCATTATGATTAACAGAAACTGGAATCATAAAACATCAATACTGGAAAGGAATTTTAAAAGTAATTTTGTTCAATCACCAGAGCTGGTTTTTTTAAAATAATTAATGAATTTGAGGATAGTACTATCTATTCAAATGCAAATATCCCAGCATATTTTAGAAAATGAAATTATAGTACATGTTGGAGAAATTAATAGAAAATGTATGTGAAGCTTCCAAAGGAGACAGTATAGGATGAAAAGAACAAAACAGAAGACTGATCATTAGACAATATCTGCCTTCAGGAGACATGAAGAGATTAAGACGTTACAGTTAAGAAGACAGAAGATTTGAAAAAGGGAATCAGTGTAGTGTCACAAAAAATCAGAGAAAAGAGTGTTTTATGAAGTGGGGAGTGCCTATGAAGCCAGCACTCCAGGGGAGGCTCAGAAAGCATGTGGTCTTGCAAAGTGACTCTCTGCTGTGACTCATGCTCTGGGAGGGAGCATCCACTGAGGGATAATCTGAACCTTTAAGGAATCAGGCAGGAAAACTTATGGAGACCCCAAAGCCTCGGCCATAGACTAAACCGAAGTAGTTCTTGGGATTTTTTTTTTTTGTGACTCAGGACCTTTTGATAATCTGATGAACTCTAATGACTCTATCCTCAGAAAAATACACATCAGAACACATACACAAACAATTTTTACATGCAGTTTCTCATGGCTCACTCTATTACCACCCCCACATATCCTCAAACCTCTCCATGGATTCCCACATGAGCACTTACAGTTCCACTGTTGGATACCAAAACTTGCTGAGGTCACGAGGACAAGTGATAGTCTAAAACCACGGAGTCCTTAGAAGAAATCATCCATCTTGCTTTATCCTAAGGAGCAGTAGGCTGAGTAGAGGTATTTCTTAGTGGCTCTAAGACTGCCCAGCTTGCCATTTGAACATTTTCTGGATTCTTGGCTACTGACTAACCAAGTCACTAGCTTAAGGACTGCTGGCCACTGTGCTTCTCCAAGCCCTGGTTTCTGAAAAGGCATCCTTGAGAATTTTAACCAGCAACACAACTTACCTAATTTCCACCTGTCTGGCTTTTGACTTTCACTTCTTTTAAATGGCTCACCCTCATTTCTTCCTTTTTCAAATTAAAGAATTTAGGAAAGCAATGAAAACAGTTTTAGCTTCCACAAATAGAAAAAATGATTGTTTAAATTTTTATGGGAAAAAGTAGTATAGCTAATTTTGTCAATATCAGTCCTAGAAAAGAGCAACGATGTGGAAAATTCAAACACTGAACAATAAAATGCTACATTTGATTGTGATTTATATTATGAAAATAGTTTTGTACCTATTTTTCTGATT